TTACTGGAGAGGAAGACAACTTTGATAAATGTTTACTTTTATTCATACTGAGTTGTTGAGTTGCATACTTTCTTGGCCATAAAAACTAAAGCTCGGAAATTATCTTGGATAAAATTTTATTAAAATGCTAATCGTATAAAATAATTTATTCTTAATTTTAGTCCGATATACAAAATAAATTAACAAATATTCCATTGGGAAAAAACACCGATTTGATTTCTGAGCGCAGACATCAAATGTGCGCAACCCTACCAATACTAAATGCGCGCGTATATTGAAGAATTTGATTATTTTAAGGTTTTCTAAACCAAGATTTGTAAATTGAGTTCTCAAAACTTAAGATTTTGAAAATTTTCTAAACCAATTAAGTCTATATTATAACTACAAAGAGTTCTGTTTATATATATATATATATATATATATATATATATATATATATATATATATATATATATATATATATATATATATATATATATATATATATATATATATATATACAATAATGCTTGGTAGATAAAAAAGTGTTATTAAATAATAAATACTTTGTTGAAAAAATGCAAACAAATTGTAATTCACAACAACTATTTTGCTTTGATTTTTTATAAGTTACTTTTATTGATTTTATGGTTTATTTTAAATAATATTTAATATTTTAAATAATATTTACTTAAATAATGTACTCTAAATTTTGAGACTTAACTTTCAGCTTATTACAAATAATAAATACAAATAATAAATACAAATAATAAATACAAATAATAAATACAAATAATAAATACAACAATTTATTGATAAATAAACAAAAGTTAGCTAAGAATCCGTGTAAAAGAACAGAATATTTGCGCATTAAAATGCCTTTTCATGTAGAGTTCCCAATGTTGCATGGAAGATAGATGTACCAGACAAATAAGCCATGCCCATGTAAAATGGTTTGAAGTAAGTTAGGAGGAGCTTTATTGTAGGTAATGTTAGTCAGAATGACATGAGCATGTTTTTCAAGAATGGTGCCATCAGGGATGCCTACTTGAAATAATAAATAAATTCAACTTGAAATATAAGGAAAGATTGTGCAACACTTTTTTATTTTTATATTTATATAACAAAGTCGGAGAAAGTTGGTCGGCTTCATGTCGGCTTCATGTCGGCTTCATGTCGGCTTCATGTCGAAGATAGTTTAAAAAATAGACTCTTAGTTGTACACATATAACAAGACACTTAATAGTGCATTTAATAATTTTTAATTGATTTCTATAAAGTCTGTTTATATTATTTTTATTAAGTAAAAGTTAGTATGTAATTTTTTTTTTTGTCATTTCTATATAATTGTAATTCTTAAAATTTGATATACGTAGTCTTTTATTCAAATTATTACAAATAATAATATACAAATTTGACTTTATCTGAAAAAAATTAAGAAGAAACTTTTATATGAAATTTATCTGATTATTCGATTGTATACATGTATTGGATGTGATTATGTATAATCTAATCGATATTCTGAAAATCTGTCTAAAAAAAACTTTCTAACAAGAAAAAATGTCAATTTAACATTAACATTCCAACATTACAAAAATATTGTTACTTTAGCTAATAATAGAAAAACTGAAACGTGATAAAAGAACGAATATAAAATATTTTTTGAAGAATGCCAACTTCGCGTTTTGTTCCGTAAAAATAATTTAAGGGGCTAACTATTATATGTTGACTCCGGGTAAAAATAATTTAAGCGACTGACTCTATTATATGTTGACTGCGTATAATTAACTGAAAACTCTCACTCAACTAACTAATTTCCGTTGAAACTGTTGAAACCACGGAACTCTGACGACTGTGGCGCAGTATTTGGAGCTTCCTAATTAAATGCTCTTTTGCGAAGCTCTGTGATATGACCAGAAGAACTTTTTGCAGCGCCTGTATAACACACACAACACACAAAAAAAGAAGGTACCGTTAATTTTAGCGGAGTCTTTTTAACGGAAATTTAAAGTGTACCTAATTAATACAACTAACAACAAATGCCTTCTGGTATTTGTTGTTAGTTGTATTAATTAGATGTCTGCATATTTAAAATAAAATAATTAACCAATCTGAAGTGAAATTTTTTAATTAAAGAAACATTGAAAAACGTTTCTTGAATTCAAAAGAAAAAAATTAAAAAATTTAGATAACAAAAAAAAATTGCAAAAAAAAAAAAAAGAAAGCTTTATTTAGTGTTTCTGAAAACAGCAAATAAAAAAACGTGATAAGCATTGTAAGTGCAAATACTAAAATAACAACAATGGAATAGAAGTTGAACATGATACTTTCATGTACAACTTCATCAAATAATAAAAGTTGTAAATGAAATTAACAACAATCCTAAAAGAATTATGTTGTGGGAAACGTAGAAAGTTTAAAATCCCATGTAGACAATATATGATAACAATAATATTGATATCAACATAAACAAAAAGTTAAGAGTAATGAAACACAGGTCCAGGTCCAGTTTAAAGGTTGATAAAGATTTAAAAAAATAAAAACGAAAACTGTAACGATAACAAAATTATAGTTAAAAACTGTTTGAAGAATGTTAGAGACTTAAAAGTTATAAGTCTCGACATTTTTCATTAAGTAAAAGTTGCATATCAGTATGGAAAATCTGTCTGCATTTTTTATTATATCTGTCTGGAAAATTTTTTACAAAAGTCTAATCATGCCAGATTAAGAAAAAGAAAATGAAAAGAAAAAAATATATATATTTTTATTTGTGCCAACAACTAAAAAGTAGAACATGCATGGATGAACATGCTATATTAAATATGTGATTTAAATCTGCTCTTTTAAATATTGTGCTTTAGATTTTTGTTGATTTTTTTTATGAAAATTTTTTATTAGAATGTTAGTCTTTACATCAAATTATTTAGTTTTTGAACAAACTTAAATTTTTCCATATTTTAAAAATAAATTTTAAAATATAATAAAAATTTCTGACCCAACTAGAGTATATATTGACCTAATTTGGTTTATGGAGTAAATTTCTCCAAAATAGTTTTTATTGTTTCTGAAAGTTAAAAATAATCACTTTTGAATCCAATTTGAAAAAAAAAACCTAACATAGAGTTTTATGGGTTCAAATAAATGTCATTTAAGGATATTTCACTTTTGGTGCCATACGTATTACAGAATAACTCGTGGATATTTCTCGTTTTGTCTTCTAGCAAAATAAAGTTATACCCGATTTTTTTCTTCTAGAAATATTAAAAAAATAATAAATGACTAAAGTTACGAGACGACAGACTAAAGTTAAATATAGGTATGATATAAAACTTTTGATAAATCTTTTTTCATTCCAAACCGCATTTATTGAGATAGTTTGGTTCATTGCAAAATATAAGAGCTCAGAAATGCTTTTTTTAGCAACAGAACGAATATAAAGTTTGACTATACTTTTCAAAATGTTCCTTAAAATTTGAAATGTTCTTTAAAATCAACATTTTAATCTGAAAATTTGGCCTTAGTAACCCAAAATACTTTTTAAGTATTTCGGGTTACTAAATTTGTTTATTTTGAGATAACTTGTGTAGCAACGGTTAACTTGCAAAAAGTACTTTTAAAAAATTGCCCCTTAGCAACAGTTGCTAAAGGGCAATTTTTTAAAAATACTTTTTGCAATTTTAAAAATGTACTTTTTGTTCTTACCATTTCCCAAAATTTTTAAGTTGTTGTTGACAAAACGCTTTAAAACTTTGCCAAAAATTTAGAAATGGGTATGATAACAATTTGAACCTCAAGAAAACATTTAGATTACATAGAGATCAATTTTGGGGCAAAAAAGTTTTTGTCATAGATGTATTATAACTAAGAGTAGAAACTTTGGTTTTAGGTTCAGATAGTTATTTGTCTTTTCATTAATATACCCTGATAATTTCAGTTCGAAAACTTTTTTAGTTGCGAAGTATTTTAGGAAACAGATCCGATTCTTTTTCGTCATTTATTTTATAAATTTGGTACATGTGCAATAAATTAGATAATTCTTTTAACTTCACTCCTAATTATTTTTAATGACTATGCACAAAAAAAAAAAATTTATTTGATTAAATCAGTTAATTAAACTTTAATGATAGAAAAGTACCTTAATGAACAATATTTCTCAACTGACAAAATTTCTCAAAATTTAAGATAATCAAGTGGGTCTGATTTTTGCGTGAGAATGACCTAACCGAGAAAATGAAAAGTGCCTAATAATTTTTTTTAGTCTTGCAAACGCAAAGAGAAATGAAAACTTTTATAGAGTTAACTCTTCATGTGCAAAACGTTGAATTTGTGTCAATCACCTCTCAAAAGTTATTTTTAAAAAATAAAAACTTTTATACTTTTCACTGAATATAAGTTAAACTAGAAAAATTTGCTACTATAATCAACAAGCGAACGAATAAAGAGAACAACCTATTGGTTATTAAAGAGGACAACCTATTGGTTATTAAAGAAAACAACCTATTTGTTATTAAAGAGAACAACCTATTGGTTATTAAAGAGAACAACCAATTGGTTATTAAAGAGAACAACCTATTGGTTATTAAAGAGAACATCCTATTGGTTATTAAAGAGTACAACCAATTGGTTATTAAAGAGAACAACCTAATGGTTATTAAAGAGAACAACCTATTTGTTATTAAAGAGAACAACCTATTGGTTATTAAAGAGAACAACCTAATGGTTATTCTCCGATATTCTTAGCGAGAATACTTTTAGTACCACTAAAGTCATCATTTTTTCAGATTTTTTCAAATTTTCTACCGATTCTATTAAGTAAATATCTTTTTCATAAACGTATGTTTATGAACAAGTTCGAAAACGTAAGTTTACTAAGTACATATACGCTGCACAAATTATAGCAACAACTATATGATTTTTTATAGCAATTGAGGTATATATAGAACATCTTGCACCATTAGTAAAATCAAATAAATTTTTGAAATCTAAAATATAAAGAACATCATTTAAAAAAAAAAAAAAACCTTTCAAAAGATTCCACTTGCAAATGATTAAATTCTGACAGAGCGAGTAGATAAGAACAAAAAAAATAATAACAACAGTTATATTTAAATCAATAACATTGCAATGAAATTAGATACCATGAATTAAGCCTTATTAAGCCAAGTGAAGCAATATTTGAAAATGTCCCGGCAATCTGTTTTCTGATATTTAACAGTAGTTAGTTGAAGTGGATTTCCAACATTTTTCAGTTTTTATTCTGTTCTGCTTACTAAAAAAATAATAACTCTCTACAGTTTTTTTTTTTTTAATTGTTTTCTGTTTTAAATTTTTTAACTAATAGTGACATCAGTAACAGGTCCTGGAATTTTTGATGAAGGGGGAGGGATGTTTTGCAAAAATTAACCTATTTATTTTTTCGTTTCAAACCTCTTTTTAAATTAAATGGTAAAACGTTTAATTTATTCTTAACGCCTTGTGCAATATCGCGAAACTTAGTGCATGTGTATTTTGCGGAATAAATTGTGGAAAAATTTTAAACTTCGAGAATTGATGGTTCACTTCCAACCATAGATTGACGTGTATATTCAAACGTGTATAATCAAAACAATTGTTTCGGATAAATTTGAAGTAGCTAAATAATTTTTGTAAACAAATATACCTAATGACAAACATTAAGCCTATAATCAACACCAGCAAAAACTTAGTATTGAACGTTGTACATAGATCGGGTAACATATTTTAAGAAATTATTGCAAATTTTTAGATCGGGTAACATATTATAATTTAGAAAATACTTTAAATCCCTTATAATAAATGGATAGAGTTTATGTTAAAAGTTAAATTTCATTTAGTAATCTTTTATCGTTCGAAATTTATTTAAAGTTTTAAACCATATAAAGTTTCTACTCCTCTTAAATTGAGGGCTTTGTTAGTTTTATATGGTCATAACTTTCGAACGCTTAAAGATGATTAAATAAAATTTAAAAACCATTAATGAATTTAAATTAAATTAAAAAAGTAAAATGAGTTTTTAGTAAAAAAAAACGCATTGCACTTGCATTTAATAAAGGTTGACAAACATTATTAGGTATTTTTTTCAAAACATTCTTTTTTCAAAACATTTTACATTGCATGAACATGCTTAAATTTACAGTTTAAACAATGCTCAAAAGTCTGAAAACATCTGAAAATGGAACTGAAAATGGACTCTCATAAAATTTTTTCATTTTTAGTGACATAGTAAGTTATTATTTATAACGGAACGCTTTGTTAATAGTAATTTACTCGTTTTTCTTGAAGTTTTCTATTTTGCATTTGGCGAAGTAGTTATTAGCAGTTACTTTTATTTAAATTGTTCAAAATAATTCAAATAATTTTTTCTTTCAAATAATTTGGTCTCTTACAAAATTCCTAATACAAATGAAATAATATGTAGAGTTGAATTTTGATGTTTAAGTCGTTTATTTTGTATTTTTTTATCAAAAAGTTTTATAACTAAACATATGTAGATTTATCAAAGGGTGATTTACTATTTTCTATATTATTTGGTTATATATATATATATATGTATATATATATATATATATATATATATATATATATATATATATATATATATATATATATATATATATATATATATATATATATATATATATAACAAAATATTTAGTGCAGAATTTACTATAGGACTTTTTGGACCAAAGCTTAGGGTCTTGCATTAAAAGGGGCATAAGATCATTAATAACTTATATCTAAAAGTTATCGTTATTTACTTATTAAACAATAATCCATATCAAAAAATAAAGAAAAACGTAACTTGTACAAAAAATCAGCTGGTAATTATGAAAGGAAACAGACTTCTAGAAATTTATTTTGCTTTATCTTATACAGTGACTTTATGGTATACAATGATTTCCCTAATGATAAACTATTTTTTCAACAAAAGAAAAAAATAAAATAATTAAAAATAGAACAAAACAGATAAGAAAAATATCATGAATGTCATTGTGGCCAGCATCTAATCAATAAAGGAATTCGTCATGTAAAAGCGTGAATGTTTTAAAAAATATGAGCAAAATGGAGAAAGCTTGCACAGATAAATATTTGAGTGAGAACGCTCGCACATAGAAATTTTTGATGGCTCGTTCGGTAATTCAACTGTGGGTATGCACTTTCTGTTTAAACGCTTTTATTTATGATTTATTGTTTTTATTATTTGTTATTTATTGCATTTATGATTTATTCCTGGTATAATAAAAGTGACACTATTTAAATCTGACATACAGACATTATTCCTATAGAAAGTGTAACATTATTTCTGAACGCCCACTATTTCCTGTATCATTTGTTTATTTGATTTTATTGGTAATAAATTTGAGTCATTAAAATCACTACGTCGGGAAATGCATTATCTGTTATTTTAAAAAATCAAAGGGCCCCATACTAAAATTTTTTTGATTACTACCAAATTTGATTCCATCATTTTCGTTTTTATCTAAAATAAACCAAAATTAGGATATTGTCGGAAAGTCAAAAAAGATTAGGATATTTATTAGTGTTATTACAACTATTAAATTATTCGACTGTCGACGAAATCGACTAATATATTTTTGAAGTATATATTTAAGACTAAATCGACTAAAAGTCGATTTAGTCGAAGTATGAAAATAATTTAATTTTTTGAAATAAATTGCAATAAAAACAATAAAGTAATTTATATTTGCCTTCTATACCTAATATCAATTAAATAATATTAAAGGAGAGATGGGCCGCTCCAAACACGAGACAATCTATTTTCAGACCTCAATAATTTAGGGACATTTATATTTAAATACTTGCTATCAAAAAGTTATCACAATCATATTTACAATGTGGTTGTATAGATTAATGACATTTAAATTTTGGAGCCAACTTATTTTTGGCTTAGGACTCCGAGCCAACTTGTAGCAGCCCTGGATGAAAGTATTTAGTGGTCATCCATAAATTACTTCACGCTTTAAGGGGAAAAGAGGCTTAGTGGCTTCGTGACAACTCATACAGAACTTTTTACCAAAGAGTAACAATGTTGTCACGAGTTGGGAAGTGGGTCTAAAACGGTCAAAAAATGCGTAACGTAACTCGTGGGCGACCTCATTAGAATCACAAGCATCGAGTAAAAACAAAATGAAAATAAATTTATGAAATACATAATCGAAAGTTTAATTAGGTATAAATAATGCTAAGAATTGGATAAAACTTTAAGAGAGTAAACAAAATAAGGCGTCGTCCATAAACTACGTTACGCTTAAGGTGGGAGAATAGGGTTTACTTGTTTTGTGACTATTCATACGGAACTTGTAACTAAAGTTACGATGTTGTGTCTAGAAAGGGGAGGGTCTAAAACGGTCAAAAGTTTGTGGCGTAATTTGTGGATGACCCCTAATAGTTGTAATAGTACATACTATTGTTACTAAATGAACAAATAAAAAGTCAACTAATCAAAAGTCGACAAATTTTGACTTTTGACTAGTCGAATTTAAGTTGATTTAGTCGAGGTCGTTAACAACACTAATATCTAATATCAATGGCAAATATTTATTGTGAACAATATCTTTTTTAGTAAAATAACTGTCTTGTTACTTGTGCTATTTTATCTCATGAAGGAGGGTTATAAAAGCAGCTATTATTTGTATTGTGCTAAAAAAGCGAATAATTGCAACTTATTTCAATTTTTGACCACTTTGAAAACCTTGTTTTGCAGAGCCTCGCCCTAAGATAAGAAATTTTATTTGAGTTTGTTCTATATGTTTATTTTTATGTATATATTTCAAACTATCTTCTAAACAATATTTTATGTATTGCTTACCTTAGTTACCTTAAAGATTTGAAAAAAGCTTTATTTTAAATTAACTACATTTTCATCCCATTTTTACAAATGAATTTTAAAACATTTTTCATCGTTTTCTAAATTTTAAAAACACATCATTGCCTTTAGGAATATTGGTTTTCAGACGCATCTAACAAATTTCCTATGCGTGATACTTTAAATTGTACTTTTTTTTAATAAATTCAATTTTATTTGCATTTTTTTAAAAAGATTTTTCAATATCGATGGATCTCATGGAAATTGCAAGAGAAAAGTTTCTCTAGTGAAGCTGAAAATTTTAATAATTGTAAAATGTATAACATGAGTTGTTGTCTGTTTTTAAAATAAAGTTTTCCAAAATGACCCAAAGAATAATTAAAAGTATGATGACGGCATGTAAGCCAGAGAGGAGTTTTTTTATAAATTTGTATTGCAAGCGTTCATAGATTTTGAATCTCAGAATCTCAAATGTTACAAATTATCTATCCTGCCTATTCAAATAGTTTCAATTCCATCCTGTCCATTTATCTAGTTTCAACTTTTGAGAGCTGCAAACTAAACAATGTCTTATCGTGAAACAGTCTGGTTTTAACTTCGTGAAACAGTCTGGTCTTATTTGGAGAATGAATATGAAAAATAATTTTCATTGATTCTTTGAGCAAGTAATTTTTTTTTTTAATTGTTTTTTTATTCATTCATATTTTCACTGTTGTATCAGAGATTCCATTGTTAAAATAGTTTGAATTTATATTACTAATGTATGTGACTAATATAAACCACTACTAATGCGGTAGTGGTATGGTGATAGAGGGCTCACCTTGTGAGCAAGAAGTTCCGAGTTCCAACCCATCCCGTCCCTGTTTGTACCGCACTCAACATGTTTCTGTAGACAGCGGTCTTGCTCGTCAAGGTTCAACGTCAAGGTCAAGTTGTTTTGAAGTTAAAGATTTGAGAATGGGTTATAATGAAAATTTAAAATTAAAAAAAATAAAATAAAAAAAAAGAAGTCTTCTTGGCTGTGATCTTCTCGGCCTTGGGGAGGCATAATCATTAAAAAAAAAGTTATATAAAAGTATTAGAATGTAAAACGTGTTGATTCTTAAAACAAATGCAAAAATTAAATAATTATTGAAACAATAGGTTTTTAATTACATTTAATTTAATCCATAAAAACTAAGTTTTTTACCTTTTTAAGCAGTGCTCAAAAAGGAAAA